GTGTGTGTGTGTGTGTGTGTGTGTGTGTGTGTGTTTGTGTGTACACATTCTTTATCAGTGTTTCATGCTTACCAATTTCAAATCTCAGCTCTTATCGTAAGGCAAGTGGTTTTCCTTTGCTTCTAACTTGAGCAATTCTTCAGAATCTGAGATATTTGGTAACATTTTTTATGGCTTTTTTCAATCATTTTTCTTTGGAATAGAGTATTTATTGCCAAGCGATTTGGAAATCTGACCTCTAACACTCGTTAAACAGCTAAAGCCGGTATCGCTATGACTAAAACTAATCGGGTTTTATTGAATGAAATCGCTCTGTTCTCAGATATGAAGTGGAGGACACAGAAATCTGCCCGAGATGACTACTGTGCTAACCTTTAAATAAAACCCCAATACAGTAAATGAAACTTTAAAAAAAAAAAAGAAGAACACCGATTTTAAATAAATTACGTAAATAGAAGAGTCTTTACATCAAAATAGGAACTACTGACTACTGTGCCAACCTTTAAATACAACCCCAACAAAGTAAATTGAAACTTTAAAAAAAGAAAAGAACACAGATTTCAAATAAATTACGTAAAAAGAAGAGTCTTTACATCAAAATAGGAACTACTGACTACTGTGCCAACCTTTAAATACAACCCCAATAAAGTAAATTGAAACTTTAAAAAAAAAGGAAGAACACCGATTTCAAATAAATTACGTAAAAAGAAGAGTCTTTACATCCAAATAGGAACTACAAGAAAATACAGAAATGAAAATAAAGAAAAATCTCTTAGGATCTCCACTCCCTGACAGCGTTTCTCTCTCTTTACCCGCTCTTTAAAGCACAGAGGTGGAAGGCAACCGGGGAAATAAAGAGTTTGTGGTTAGTCGTCTTTGTCGTGTTTGTGTCCGTTACAGCTCTGGGGGGGGCTGAGCCCAGATCCACCGGGGTGACCTCGAAAATAAAGGCAGTCCAGGACGAAGTTTGGATATCGATGAAGAACGTCCCGAAGCTCACCTGGGACAAAGAGTGAGAGGCAGAAACCGTTAGTATTAGTATTAATATCATTGCCATTTTTCATCTAGTCTACGTGTTGCTGTGTTGGCTGCCTCTCTCTGCTCCTTCTGTCCTTCTCTCGCCCTTTCCCTGTTGCCCTCTCTCTCTCTCTCTCTCTCTCTATCTCTATCTCTCACCCCCAACCGGCAAGGAGTTATTTCAAGGGTTGGTAAGGATGTTTTTCTGTTGTTTTTTTATTGTCCTGATACCATCTGCCTCCGGCCGAGGCAGATGGCCGCCCACCCTGAGCCGTGGTTCTGCTCCAGGTTTCTGCCTGTTAAAGGAAGTTTTTCCTTACCTGTGTCGCCTAGTGCTTGCTCATGGTGGGAATTGTTGAGTTTCTGTAACTAACTTCAGAGTAGGGTCTGACCTGCTCTGTTTGGAAAGCTGTGAGAAAACTGTTGTTGTGATGTGGCGCTATATAAATAAAATTGAATTGAATGGAATTGAGTTAGAAAAAAATAAACAAAAAGAAAAGAAAAGCCGTCTTTTGAGGCTTTTCATTCTGAATCCAAGCAGTGGTGCATTAACGCCTGATAGGTTCTTTCATTTGGAGTCATTAGTATAATTACTGTGATCATTTCCGATCATTACAGACAGAACCTAAAGCTTCCATCTGTCTGCACCCGAATTTTAAAATAATGTGCAGATGAAAAATCTGGTGTTTTTTTAACATGAAAGAAAAAAAAACTGATTTATAGGACGGCCGACAGAGAAAACAGCGTGCGAGAAAAAGCTTTGACAGATCCTAGAAAAAAAAGAAGGAAAAAAAAGCAGATGGTGCAAATAAAATCCCCAGCAGATGGCATTTATCTTCTCCGGTAAAGAAAGGAAATAAATCAAAAGTGATGGGGACAGTACATCTGAAACAAGGGAAGGCTCTGACAGATGCTGTCCATCATATCAAACATGCTCTCTTTGAATTGAATTGAATTTTGGAATACAGCGCTACAGATAGCACACATGACAAGACAAAACAGAGATAATATCAGTGGTGGGCCTTCTCTGCAGGCCTAAGAAAATATCTGAATCACAGACTGATGGTAATTAGATTTTGTCCATAAATACTTATTAAATATCTCTAAATAGTCTGTCCGCTTCCTTTCATAGCTTTTCCCCTGGTCATGCTGCTTATAGACATGTATTTTTATTAAAAAAAGCATTTAACCAATCACATTTTGGCCATCATTTGTTGCTAGGCAGGGTCAAAGTCAAAGATGTCTGCCTGGAGGCCTTCACAATCCGTTCTGAGGACCCTCTAACAGAAAATAAACGTCAATTAACCCTATAATGCCAAATGTTTCATATCTGATTCATACGGTTTCTGAAATGTTTTGCGTCTGACACCTTTTGCATAATTTAATGGTAAAAACTTTGCTCCAAATCCTATTGTACACAATCAGATACACCTGATAACAGGGGGCAGAAGACTACACAAAAAATAATCTTGACTTATCGAATAGTAATAAATATTAATATAAAAAATGTATTTCTGTGTTTTCTTTTTACATATTTTGTTAAAAGGGCAAAAAAAGGAATTCAAACAAAAAAAAGTAATTTTCTGTTTTGTTTTATTCTTGGATCAGGCTTTAAAGGGATAAACTGTTGCTTTAACCAATCAGATTTTAGGTTGGTGACACCAGGGCCTTCTAGAAGGCCAAGGCAACGTCACCGTATTCACACCCACTGATTGGATAGTCAGATAGCGTACCGGCTAAAGCTAGCAAACTACCCGAAATATAGTTGTGTTAGTGTAATAGCTATTTTATCACCCCACAATGGCTGAAGGAGGAGAAGAAACGGATTTGGTGGCAGATTTACTGTCAAGGCCATTTTCAAGACTGAACTTTCAAGAAAAGTAAGTGAGTAAAATGTTGCTTTTTTACTAAATAATATTGCGAGTTTATGAGGATATTATTGATATCCTCACATCAGTTAGGGGGGGGGGGTCTGAACTTTATACTGTATTTTAGACTTGTCCCGAACCGATATTTGGATCGGATCGGCCAGCGATATTTGAAAAGAAAATTATATAAGTCCAATCCCACACCGGCTTTAGCATCTCTTAACCCACAGGTCTGTGTCCTAACCATTAAATTGTAAATCCCAATTCAACATGAGTGTGACAACTAAGTAAGTAGGCTAAATAACTTTAAACTTTAACACATGCTCTGATAGGCCGGGATGGGAATCGTATCAGAAGTGAAAAAAGCTAGATCAGGACATCCCTAGTTGTAAATGAGGCTAAAGCCACTTAGAAATACTTAGAAACAGGTTACAGTACCTTAAAAAAACAAAGCAGTCGGTAACACTAAGGGATCAAATCTAAAGTATCCAACAGTTTCACATGTGTGATAAAAAATGGGCAGTAGTTTGCTGTCCACTGAAGAAAAATGGGCTACTTGTGAGCTTTTTATCCAAACGGCCAGCGGTTTATAACCTCCTGCTATGGGCAGAAACCCTCAACTGGAGGATAGGCTGGTTCTGATCCCATTTCTGGGAAACAATGTGTATCGGCCGACAGGAGAAAACGCAGATCCAGACTCCAGATCCAGTTAAAAAAAATGAATCCATTTGACTTAACTGTGTTGTTCCCTGACATCAGGTCTGGTTTCCAGCACAACCTTTAGCATTAGCATTAGCATTAGCATCTGTAACCCACAGGTCTGTGTCCTAACCATTAAGTTGTTATCAGAGTAAATCCCTGTTCAACATGAGTCTGACAACTAAGTAAGTAGATAAATAACTTTAAACTTTAACACATGCTCTGATAGGCCGGGATCGGATCGGAAGAGAAAAAACCTGGATCGGGACATCCCTACTGTATTTCTACATAATAAGATGATTTCTATAACCATAAAATAGTTATTGAGGGGTGAATTGATTCAGGTGTGAAATGCTCGGTCCGACACAGAGAAAATAGATCCCTCACCATAAGTAATCTTCCCCGTGTTGGGTCTTCTTAGAGCTCCAAACACAGCTGAGAACTCCACCTCCTCCACTCCCAACATTATTCCCAGGATGACGGCCAGTTCCTCCTCCAGGATCCCACTCCCGTCCTCGCTCTCGTACATCTGTGGACAGAGGCGGCGTTTTTAACTCATTGGCTGCCAAAGACGTCTATAGACGTCAATTCAAATACAACCGTTGACTGCCAAAGACGTCTATAGACGTCAATTCAAATACAACCGTTGACTGACAAAGACGTCTATAGACGTCTTTTATGTTTTTCATAGAAAGTGTGTCTGAAAGAAGAGAGTCTACTCTTTCTTTTGGTGTGTTCGGTGTTTACATAGTCATAGCACAAACTATTCTGTGGCTCTATAAAAATCAGTCAAAATGCTCGAAAAACTCTGGCAGTATGGGACTCTGTTCCGAAAATGGCTGCCAGTCAATGAGTTAAGGGCAGCGGCGTGACATCGGCCAATCAGGTCGGCCCACGGGGGGCGCTCACCTGGAAGGCCAGTTTCAGGGTTTCCTCGGACCCTGAAGGCCGGTGGGTGGTGGACAGAGCCACCACGAAGTGTCTGATATCCACTCGACCGTCTCCGTGCTGGAAGTGAAAAGTAAAGGAAATAATCGGGTAAAAAAAATGTGATAAACTGTCAAATTCTTAAAAGCTTTCAAATCTTTTCCTCATGCGACCACAAAGATAAGACCGAGGAGGAGTCGGATCCCCTCTCCCTCCCGAGTTTACGTGGAAATCAATGCCCTTTGGGAACGTTCAAAGATGGAAATTTGTAATTTAATTAACTGGACATGAGTTTTCCTAACTGAACAATAGGAAATGTGCTGATTTCTGTCAATAGATATCAGACAGAAAGCAAATTCTCCCTCGTCTTCAACTGACCTTTAAAAAAAGGTATGAAGACTATATTTAGGTTAAATAACTCCAATGCTCAATGCCAACTTGGTGACATAAAACCAAAATTAAGGTTTTATGTCACCAAGTTGGCATTGAGTATGAAACCCAATATTAGTCTAAAACTTTAGTTAACTGGGCATGATTTTTCCTGACTGAACAATAGGAAATGTGCTGATTCTCCCTTATCTTCAACTGACCTTAAAAAAAAGATAATGCAGACTATTTCAGGTTAAATAAATCCAATACTCAATGCCAACTTGGTGACATAAAATCTTAATTTTCCCTTATTTTCATCATACTGAGGCTTGCCAAAGGACATGATATAGTAAACCTTTGTATACTGGCAGAATTAGCTAAATTCTAGCAGAAAATAAAGAAAACTGGGAAGATTTCTAGTTATTTTAAGGAAGCATAGCTTTTTTTCCTCATAGCTGCTCATTTTTAAAAAATTCGTATTCACTTCCACTTCTCCCCAAAGGTTAATTATCTCTCTTGATGGCACTTATTGACCATCCAGGCCCATTTCTCAATTCAATTCAATTATTTTATTTAAGTGCTCATGACCATATACATGGTTTGGAGCACAAACAATAAATATAACAGAACAAAGTAACGCATATACATAAAAAATGTAACATAATCTATATAATGGGAGGACCCATTTAAAAAAGGCACCCGACTTACAAATTATTTCATTTTTTCTAGACTGAAATAATGAAACCATTTTAAACATCGATGGGCTCTTCACATAATACTGTGGAAAATACTTCTCTCTGTAATGGCATATTTCTACATTTTTACACTCAAACAAAACATGATACTCATCTCCAACACAGTTATCTGAACTGAGTTGACAGAATCTTAACTTTCTCTCTAAACCTTTATACCGACCACTGACTTTAGGGGTTCTAGTGTTGTTTGTTCTAAGGTTACAGATGGCCTGCCTATATCCGAGGTTTTCACATAACAAGTATTTTTCAAATGTATATTCTTGCTTAATTTCTGCATAAATATCACATTATGTCATTTGCCTAATTCCACTTTGCCAATTTTGAATGTGAAGGTCTTTTAGTGTCTGTTCAACAGTTAGTTTCAACCCGTTTACATTATTAAGAGTCTGTGAGGTTCTGCGTTTACCTGATCAAAGGTGTTGTGGACCTGTCTCAGAGTGTCTGTGACGGGCAGGTTTAGAAAGAGGCCGAACTCTTCCAAACCCAGTCTCTCCACCCGAAGCTTCCTCGCTCTCCTGGCCTGATCCTCCAGGAGTTTGTCTGTGATTCCTGCTCTTAGCCTGACGGGAAGGTGAAGAAAAATAAAACTAAACTTAGCAGAACGTCAGAAAACTAATCACTGAAATTTAAAAAATAACACGAGACAGGATGTATCAGTGTTCTTCTACCACTAGATGTCAGTGTTTATGCAGCTTAAATGAGCCAAGAGGGGTTCACTAATGGGTTTAACACATCTGTTCCAGGTAGAAATGTCCCGATCAAAGCTTTTTTTACTTCCGATCCGATACCGATCCCGGCCAATCAGAGCATGTGTTAAAGTTTAAAGTTATTTATCTACTTACTTAGTTGTCAGACACATGTTGAACAGGGATTTACTCTGATAACAACTTAATGGTTAGGACACAGACCTGTGGGTTACAGATGCTAATGCTAATGATCGTGTGGGATCAGACTTTGACACTATAATGCCAAATGTGTCATATCTGATCCGGTTTCTGAATTCTTTTGGATCTGAGACTTTTTGCATCATTCAGTGGTAAAAGCTTTGCTCAAACCCCTGTTGTACACATTCAGATATTCCTGATAACAGCCAGTAGTATTTTTGACTTATTGCACGCTAATTTGATCAAAATAAAATGTTTTCTCCATATGTTGTTGAGGGGCCAAAGAAAGACTTCAGACTAAAAAAATCCAATATTCTCCCTATTTTTCTTGGATCGGGCTTTAAAGGGTTAAAAAAAAAAACTGGATTTGGCATTACAACCCTGTAATGCCAAATGTATTATATTTGATACGGTTTTTTAAATGTTTTGCGTCTAACACCTTTTGCATAATTCAATGGTAAAAACTTTGCTCAAAATCCTATTGTACACAATCAGATACACCTGATAACAGGGGGCAGAAGACTACACAAAAATAATCTGGACTAATAATCGCATAGTAATAAATTATTAATATTAAAAATGTATTTCTGTTTTTTTCTTTTTACATATTTTGTTAACTCATTGGCTGCCAAAGACGTCTATAGACGTCTTTTATGTTTTTCAACGAGAGTGGCTGGGGGACGATCTGCTAAAGCTTGTCCGTAAATATCGGCTTCTAGACAGAGTATGTAGTAACAAATTGACCCTC